ATTACTTTTTTTCAGTACTAGTGCAGTTTAATTTAAAAGATTTAATTCTGAAGAGACATTTAAATACTTCTGCATTTTGTTTGTAAGTTAGATGCTTCCAGTTCAAGATTGTCTGTCAAATATTAATGTGTTCTAATGGAAAATGTTCACTCTAGAGACAGTCTTTTGCTTTTAAGGGTTTGGGGTTTTTTTGCTGTTGAGCTTTTTAAATCATGCTCAAACTAAAGTTATGAGAAACAAGTGAGGTATTTTTTCACTGAAAGTGTAACAGCTAAATTACATAAGTTGAGGCTGTCATGTTTTCTAATTTCTGAACATGTTAAAACAGTGTGATTGTGTAACCACTTAATTAAACCAAAGTTATAATTTTTTTACGCTCCCTGGTGTTGCATCTTTAACTTACAACTACACTCATGTTGTGCTTCAGATCAACCTTCTGTCCCATACTAACTTCTCTGCCTGATGGATGCATCATGCTTTAAGGTCTGTGGAAATCCCTGCTGTGATTTAAGATACTTTGCTAACAAAATTGCCATCCCTAGACAAGTGTACTGTATCCAGTGAGATACTGGAGGTGAGGGATTACCTCGGATTAAGCAAGCAGTCAGTGTATTGTGAAGAACATTCAAAATTACAGTGATGCTTTAACTTAACTCTGTCAGAATTTCTGAGTGCCTTTGGGTAGGTCTTCATGAAATGGGTAAACACAGCAATTGCTTGAGTTCATCCCATTAACTGAAGCACGGTTACTGAGCGATCAATCCACGGCCACACTCCAGTTGTCTGTAAGGCAGATGGTCTACGGGCTGCAGTGCACATCTATTTCAATGAGTTTTATTGCTGATGTGTAACACTTGTTGTATTGACTCAGTCTAGCCATTGGTCTTAAACAGAACAATTGCTTTTGTTTAATCAGTTGTGTTGGAGACTTCCTTAACAGGAACATAATTAAAATGGAATCTAAGACTGTATTCTATAAAACTACCATATTAAAAGAATGGCATTTCTGATTAGTAACATGTTTATTGCATTGCTAAGCCCATGAAGTCTGTAACATGAGAGTAGTGCAAATATGTTTGAAATATTTTAAAAAACAAAACCAAACACACACAAAATGAGAAGACCCCAGTCCTCATGTGCAGATGCAGTAGAACACATTAGAATGCCATGGTTGTCACATTCATTCCTTTAACATGGCTTAGTGTACTTCTAGGGGACTTTTAACACTAAATGAGATGAAATATTACTGAGAGTGACTTGCAGTATCATAGTGATATTCAGTGTTTATAAATCTGCTCCAAAGTTTATTTAAATCTGTGGATGAAGTTTTGTGCTCTCTCTTGTACTTGCAATGCAGGGAGTAGGAAATACACTGTAGACAGGGGCTGAAGGAGTCCTGATCTCTTGGTGAAAGTGAAGTAGCTTGTATTACTAAGACAACTTCACTGACTCCTGGTTAAGTAATGGCATCCTCTTTGGTCCTGTCCTATAACCTGACTTTGTAGAGCAATCAGAGATGATTTCCCTCATGATTTCAGCTCAAAATGGGAAGAAGAGTATGCCAATACTCCTTGTAAATCTGAAAAGCAGTTGATATTTAGGTAATACAGTTCCAAATGTTCCATCATGCTCCTTTATACTTCTGTTCCTGTTCAGGTTCCAAGCATGCCAAACAAGGTAAGGGGCTTAAATAATAATGTTCAGCTCTGTGGCTTCTGCCACAACCAGTGGCTTTTATTTTTTTTCAGCTTCTGCCATTAGAAAAAGCCAGGAAGAATGGCAATGCTTACATTTTTCTAGGAGGAGCTTATTGTTAGTCTTCTGAGGATAAGCACATGGCTCTTCTTCGAGTATATGTGTGCTTTGCATATTGGGTCAATTTATGTGCACTCAAATTCTCAACATTTTTGTGTAATTTTAAGTGACCAATTTTGGGGAATGGAAAGAACCCAAAGAAGGTTCCATTTTGGGGAATGGAAAGAACTCTTAGGCAGTTGTGTTCTTACCTCTGTTTTCAGACATCTCTTTTAGAGAGCTGTAACTGACTGATAACACAGTGGTGGGCTTTGAAAATTTAACTTTTTTCAAGGGGGAATCATAAACAGAAAGTCCGGAAAGGTTTCCCTGAGGTCCATTATCTGAGGAGAGGACGGTACTGTGTAATTAGTTTGGTTTTTTAGAAAGGATTCATACCTTTGGATAGGAAATGCCAATTATTGCTTTTCACTACATAAAAATTTTACACTGCCATCATCTTTTCTGAATTTATTCAGCTGGCTTGGCTAAGGTATGCACAGATCTAAGAATGAGTTGCACACAGTACCATGTCAATTAATGAAATTTACTCCATATAATGTGGCTGCTAAAAATAATTTAGGTTAAACTCTGAAACATGCTTGTCAAATGATTTCGTAAGGTAACTACTTAATAGAAAGTTTGGTCTTGAGTTGAAGCACTGAAACTATATAAATGTTTTACAGTAGCCAGATGTCATTTAATAGCTTGATAATACTTGTTTGGTCTTCACATGAATTTCACTTTCGTGTTTTTTTTCCCTGAACATGTAACATATGTGGAATAGCCAGCAAATGCAAATTTTATCAATCAGATACAGTTTGACATTTTGAACGTTTTTTAAACTTCACAAATACCTGTTTACCATCTGGTGTGTGTGGGTGTGCAGGAAATGACACTTTCATGCAGTCTGATACACAACTTTTCCATGATTTGAGCGTGAACGTTTCCTTTTAATGGGTTTGCTGCAGGAAAACCTTTGAAGAATGGGTATATAATTCTGGACTGTTAACATTTGTGTGTGTGTGTGTGTTTGCTTCTGTTGGTGGTTATTTTAAAATCACTTAATCCTTTAGCTTTTCTTATTTGTATTTGATTTTATTCAAAAAAGTTTGTTCCAGATTAATATTGCAACATGTGAAAGAGGTAACAGAAGAGTAAAACTTAAATTTTTCTTTTCATTGTTTCAGTAGCCAGTTGTTGTTATTGTGGTCCCAAGTATCCTATTTCCTGTTTATATTCTATGTCTTTTGAAGACGCTGCAGAGTTTCAAGGGAATTCCATGATCTTTGAACTGGAATCCTGTGTATCATTAAATTGAATTAGTCATGATCATTTGTTCGGAGATAGTGTCATTGTAGCTTTCAGTGACTTGAAGATACTGATCCCAAAGGCTGTCCTGGCTTATTTGCATACAATCAAGTTTTAATTCAGTTAGCATTTCACACAAGGATGAGAGCACAACACTCTGTGGTGCAGTACCTCAAATCCACACTGGATTAGTGTAATTTAGAGCAGGGAGCTTAGCACTCGTGCAAACCAGCAGCTCCTGCCTGCTCCTTTGGCAGGCAAATGTGGCTGCCCCAACAGCCACTGAAACGTAGAAAAGTACAACAGCTTTTTCAAATGGCAAGTTAAAGCATCATTTAAAGGCCAGAAAGACACAGTTTTCCAAGATTAGTGTTTGTACATATATTCATAACTGTTTAACATGTTGTCCCATCAAGACGCAACTTTTAACTAATTGCTAGAAACTCAGACCTCTCTGAAATTACTCCTTGATTTAGTCTCCTGATGATCAGATACTTGTAGCTTAGTTTTTAAACAAAGTTCAGGTAAGGAAAAAAACTGTTCCACAGCAAAAACATCTTTTCTTTTTTTAACTTAACTTCCATTTCTCAATGTTTAATACCTGGTGATTTCTCTGACGATAGCAATAACTTTCTTTCTTGGTGTGGGCTATAATAGCTGCCCTTTAAACAGAGTGTCTTAAACAGGGTCTGACATTTAGGACATGTTTGTGTTTTGTGAAACTATGTAATATCACAAATTGCAGTTCCAAAAAAGTGTGAGAGCTTCATGCTATAAAGATTTTATTTTTAGAACATCACTCAAAACTGCACAACTTTTCTGCTCTTTTTGAAAAATAATGTCCTTGTTAACATCCTCTTAAGTCCAAGGCAGGAATTAGAAAATTCTGATAAAAGTGTATGTAAAACTACATCATTGCTAAGAGTGGTTTACAATGCTGCAGCCACCTGGCACCAGCGCTCAGGAAGTCATGACTGTTTCTGCCAACAGTCTTTTTTCATATACAACCTACTTAATTCTGAGAAGGGTGAATTGAAGACTAATAATAATGCTTCTCTGGGTCTTTCTCCTGCTATCCTTGTCTCCAGACTAACACTCTGATCTTCTATCAGCACTTCCTCACCTCCCCTGCTGATAAAGCATCCTAACACAAAAACCTCCTCCAGACTGTCAGCCCTGGGCAGGGCCCTCTGTTCTACTGCTCAAACAGTGACTGCTGTACCTCTCACCAGGAAAGGAACAACTCAGCCCTGTCTGTCATGAAGTACATTACAAAACCCAGTGGCCTCAGTCCAAAAATCTGAATACTTCTCTTTTGTGGGAGGGTTTATGTAGCAGCGTTTGTGCCTAAGTCTGTTTCTTTCCACACCGCATCCTTACTCTGAGCATCTCCTCAAAGTCCTTCTCACTGTCACCGTGTGATAGTTGAAATATTTAGCCAAATATACATACAGAAATGGAATCCAGAAAGAAATGGAACATAATTTGAACTCATTAAAAGTCTTGCTTCTTAATCAGGTTTTTTTTGGTAAATTGATTTTTGTCAAGGGACTCTTACTTACTGTGTCCCGTAAGATCCTTTGTTTGCATTCTATCACTACATTTGCTTAATTTAAAAGAATCTTTTATTTGCAGCTTTTTTCAAGTGGAGATGGTCTTCATACCAGTGTCTGCAGGGAGATTATTCTCATTTGTTACTCTGTTACAGACTTCTTGAGCTGGGAAGGTTTTAGAATGCTGTAGACTACCTTGAGTTTCTTACTAAAAGTACAACTCTTTCCTATATGGTGTCAGTGGCACTGTTTACCTCAATACAGTATTCAAGACAAAGTAACTTGTTAAATGACACTGAAAAGTTGCTTTTCTGTATGAAATATGTTTGGGTTGTTTTCCAGATTGTCACGAACGACTCCACTTTTCAAGAATGCTCAGACGAGCCCAATGCACACACAGTTCCTGACTACACTGCTAGAAGAACTGCATTTCACAAATGAAGATCTGGAGAGTTTAACAAGCATATTTAGAAGGGACTGCTGACTGGAATGGTCAGTCCATTTTAAGCTATTTTGTGTGCCACAAAACCAAGCCAGTTAACAATGGTTTTAATTTTCAGCATTTTCTAAGTAATCACAGTGGCTTCAGATTGTATCAGCCAGAGTAGAAAATGTGGGAAGCACATTTTAAAGTAAAGAAATATATATATGATGTGGAAATGAGTGTCAGCATTTTGTTGCTTACAGTAAATGCTTATTTATCATATTAATCTTTTGATAATATATAGTTGGTTTCTGCAGTTTTGAGAGGCTTTTTTACTACTACAATTTATCAAAGAAGCAAAAAAAAAATTCTGTATGGCTACTATGGCTAAGACTCAGCAGAGTTTATGTAATTATTAAAATGAAATTGTTATGTTCAGTCTTTGTGATATAAAATTGAGCTAAAACTCAAGTATTTCTAACATCATATGGAAATGACATTTTGCATTCCAGGTAGACCAAAAAATTTAAGATTAAATACCTTATTTATGTTGATCATATTCAGCTGATTCAATGAATATTATATTTAAATAATTAGTCTATTAACATTACTGACCTCACTCCTTTATCCCCCACAGAATGACGTGATCATTTTAACAGCTACTGGCTGAAATAGTTGCACAGAGGACAAAAGGAACACCTTCAATTGTTGGAATCTTTTATAAATGAGAAATGAAATTAAGTATGAATTGTACTTCTTGCACTTCTGCTTTTTCATCTCCTTCCTATGGGTAAGAATTGTGAAGTCTTGTGGAGAAAGAGACTATAACAGCAGTTCTTCAAGATGTGCATGAAGACAAGTTAAAATGTGGATCACCTGAAAACTATTCAAAAGCAGGAGAGAGGGATTTGGATTGGTTTGATTTTTTTTTTTTTTTTCTTGCTTTGGAAACTTTCAGTCAAAATTTGTCTACAGGAATTAGGGAATGAAAGGGGTTGAAAAAACCTTGTTAGCCTGGAGTATTAAAAACACTGCTGCTGATATTTTTCCGGTTGCCCCAATGCGTGGAGCATTTCAGAATGATGATGATGGTAAACAAAGATGTCTGATTCATGCCTCTTTATCTTGCTACTTCTAAGAAAAGGGGTAGTCTTTGAACTTGTGCAAAAGTTATTTTTAAACAGACTGTCCTTGTTACTAATTTGAACTTAAAAATATATTTTAATAACTAAACATTTTTGGCTTTCAGTAGTCATTGCATTTCAGAGTTGTGTTGTTTACACTGTGTTTTGACTTGCTTCTGTCACTAACTGATTATAAATTGCAATTTAAAACTAGTCCACTAGTAATTCTTAATGGTTCCATAATATGGTTTATTGCACAGTTCTCAGTTCATTGCCCCTTGAGAGACTTGAGAAGGAAGTTGTAACTAACACCACGTAGTATGCAGCAGATGCCAGCACTAGTTAAGGCTGAAGTAAGACTTATCAAGGTTACAACACAGCAACTCCATTAAAAAAAAAAGTTTACTCCTTTGTTTTGTTTCTGTACTTGGACACCAAGAGGGAACTCTGCACTTAATTAGTTTATTGCTGTGTAGTTCCTTCATGATAATCAGGGTCAATATGATGATTACTCCTGACACGCAGAAGGCCATGGAGCTTTTTCCTGGAAGCTTCATTGTGCAGTAGACTTTATTAAGGAGATGCTTGGCTTTTCTTAACTTACCTTGTAACGGGAAGTTATGTTCAGCATAACTGTAAAACCAACAGTTTTAGAATGAGGGTAACCTCTAATGCAGAGTTACAGCTATGCATTTTTCTAAGTTTGCAATATGAAGAAAATAGCCATTGTGATAGAAAATTCATAAGACTTACCGGGTAGAAGGTACATTGGGTTTGTGCCATGATGGAAAAAATTTACTTGATACATATGGGAAGGGTCAAGACCTCATCAAAAGACGAACTTCTATAGGAGACTGAGTAATAGATATGATACTCAGCAAAACTCAAACTTTGAAATTATATATATTTGCTTCTGATTTTGGAAGATAAGTATATTTTTATTTTTAGCTAATCCTCCACTGTAGATTCTGAGCAAGGCATTGTCCTTGCACGTTTACCTTGGGCCACAAAGATTGCCTCATGGCAGTGCTGTTACACTGACTGCACCTAGAAGGCAGTACAAATGTACATCGTACCAGGAATAGACTGTGTCTCATCAGGTTCAATGGCTCTCATTTGGAAAGTTTTTACACTTCCTGTCAGTTTAGTGGTGTGATTATTTTTTTCTTAGTTATTTTTAGGCTTGGTCTTCAGCACCTACTATGTAGGAAATAGATGGTCTTGTAATAAGAATTAATAGGTCACAGGCTCAAAGACCTCCGTGTCAAGTTTCACTGTAGCTGCTTTTACTGTCTACCGCAGCAACTCAAAAGAGTAAACTGTTAGGATTTTTGTATCTTCTCTTTGGCTGCTTTGTAGTAAGCTCCCTCATTCTTTTCCTTGCTCTAGGAGAACAGAACAACTTTCCTCCTTCCATGAGGCCAGAAGGAAGACTTCTGTAGTATGATGGAAATGCCCTGAAGGGATATTCTTCACTTGCCTTTAATGACTTAATCTCTCATAGGCATGACTAAAACACATGTCAATAAATGCAGAAAGTATATATATACCCATTACTTTTAAGTAGGAGAAAGGCTGTAGACTCATCTCAAAAGGATCTTCCATACTATCAGCCTTAACTGGTGTATAAAGATCACAACTCAAGCACAAAAATTAAGTTCATTTATGTAGTTTTCTTACGAGTATGTTTTGTAACAGCTCAACTGCTTAGAAGTGTTCAAATCTAGACATCACTTATGAGCTTAAAGTTAATTTCTGCCACAATTGTGTGTCCTTTAACAAACTTCACTCTTTCTTAACTCAATTGTTTTTGAGTGTCATTCCCCCCCTTCTCATTTGGCTTGTGTTTGCAGGCAGATTGCTTCCTTGTGGCCTTGTTACTGTGCTTTACTGGTTTTTCTTCTATGTCAGTTGAGCGGACGAGAGCAGCTGACACGGGTCAGTGGTGGTTTCAGCCTTATCTCACATACACTAAATTTTAGTGACTGACTTGTTAGCTGCAGGTCTGTAGGGACATTATGGATCTGGGGCTCAGGACAGATGGGACATAAGCCTCTATTTCGGAGCAGGCTCTGTCAGAAGGGCAGAAACTTGGTAGAGCCATCAACTGTTTAGATCATACGGATCATAAAGTCACACAAGTCCATTGCCATAACCATGTAAAGCATCCAGGTCTATCTGGCAGTGGATCTGTAGCAGTGCAAATATGGTATGATGTGTTTCTTTTAATAGCAGGGAGCAAAGGGGAAACCAGACTTCCACAGTGATTTTTTTCCTGACATATATAATGGATATAGTAAAGAGCAGAAGAACAGTTTAGCCTGAAGCTTGAAGCAAAACCTACTTCATGCTGTTGCAGCTTCTCAGCATCTAAGGAGGAATGTGTGACATCTACCTGCATAGTGCAGATTCTTACCAAGTTTTCTGTAGCTGTAATGAATTAATCTCAGGAAGAGAACAACCCTATATACAGAGAAAGTCACATTTTTTTCAATGTTACTCAAAGGACTCTTTATGCTGGCCAAAGAGGCTAGAGGAAAAGCTTTTGTGTCTATTTTCACACCTAGGTCCAGGTCACAGTCCTGTAAATACTGTCAGTGTAAGCATTGCACTCTGTAATACTGAATTTCATAATGCAGAGCCCTTTGCTGCTGCTGCCTGATTCTTTGTGCCCATTGAACAAGCTTGATGACCTTTCCTGGGTTTTGGAGAGAGGGTGATACAGAGTGCTTCATTTGATAGCCTCAGGAAAGTGGGAAAGTCATAACGTAACCTGTAAATTATCAGACATTCAAAGAGATTACCCTGCATCTTTGTAAAGTTTGCAAATCATGTTATGTTTATATATAGTAGTGCAAAATTCTACATTAAATCAAGCAGAAGAGAGCTCGATTTATTTTATTGGAGACTATCAAAACAAAAAAAAGTGCCTTAGTACATCTAGAGTGGCATAACTGATAGGGCTGTGCTGCTGTCTAAACCCAGGACTGGAAAGCTAGATCTACCCTGTCTTTTAAAGGGTAATCTTGGGAGTACATGTATGAGATACATCTGGGGCCTCACAGGCTGTGTCCACACAACACATACAAGAGTCACCTGTGTTTTCACTCTTCAGTCTCAGCAAATAGCTTAAAAGTGAGACATCTGCTGTGGTTTTAGGGGGGAAATAACGGTTCTATGAATCTTAATGTTCCATGTCCTACCCTTCTCCCCCTAGTCTGAGAGAATCTGGACTCTACAAAATGCAAGAGGGGATGAGGCAGCTCAGCTGACCTTTTAACTGCTGGTGAAAAAAGGACTAACACATCAGAGAGAAGAAAAAGGAAGAGAGAAGGGGAAAGCGGTATTCACACCTTCTAAATTTAGGCATCCAGCCTTAGGTACCTGCCTGTCTTCATTTACTTTTGGAGACAACCCATGCTCTTAAATTTCAGGTCTCCAAATCTTACCTTAGTGCAGTACATGAAGTGGATGGTGGTAATGCCTCTGCCCCTATCCCCTGGTGGGGGAAAGAAAGCAGAAAAGTCTGAAAACATTGACCATAGTAAAATGACTCTCACTGGACTGATTTGTAATAGAGTGTGGCACAAAACTGAATGGGGACCTGCCCCTGCACAGTGAGAAGTTACTAAGCAGAATGATCCTACTGTTCAGTTACTTTGATGGCTACTACTTCATACAGATTTTTTTTTAACCTGTAAGAATTAAAACCAAAATAATTAAAGAGAGTGGCAGCCTTTAAGAAAAAATAATGCCAATATGTTGAAATTATGTCCAGATTACACTCTAGTTCTACAATTTGCCTCTAAGCTTTCCATACATACTGCTTATTTCTGCAATTGCATATGAACACAGAGTACTATGGGTGGGGTATAGCTTGATCTCACTGGGGCAGCAGGTAATGCTGAACTGTCATTTCCAATGAGCATTAAATAT